CAGTTAGAAGATATTATTTACTTATTGTTATACTTTTGATTTTTTGTTTCTAATACGAACACACGGCATTTGGACCCTCTTGTTTGGTGTTTATTTATTTTCTTTGTATGACTGTGATATTAGAGGGCTTCCATAAAGAATTATTAGCAATTCTACTAAATTTGATAAGCTAAATTCTACTAAATGTGACTGCATGGTTCAATGATGATATTATATAATATAATATCTAATAATAATATGCAAGTTTTCATGATCCTCATAATTTTTTTTTGAAATTTTAAATGACAATGATAATAATTTAGTTCGTTCTTGTAGAATTTCTAGTTTTTCCTTTATTTGGAAGCCTTGCAATTTCCAATTGGCTCACTAAGGAAGATGGTTTTATCAGTAACTGTAGTTCAAATTGCGACAAAAAGTCCGGGAATAAAGAATCCGGTCCTGGTTCCCACATTATCCCACAGCGTATTAGAGAATTGGTTAGACCAACTGAATAAGAAAAATATTTGCTTTTTCGCTACCATATAAATGATGATGACGTTGGATTTAGAAATGCCGTAAACAAAAATTTTACGAGTGATTTTTATGGAGACGAAAACTGTTCAAATAAACTTACAATGCTTCGGCAATAATCACGTAAATTGCTGTTGCTCCTAAATTTATCACATTCATCACACAAAAAGATATACAAAAAGTTCCATAACTTTTGTTTACCTTTCCATGCATAATGCTAAAGACGCCTAATATGTTAATAATGCAACCGATTATTGCAAGCTGAAATTAGATAAATTTGTTAGGATAAGGAATTATATCTTTAGATAAAGCATTAGTTTTAATAATTTTCTTTTAATAATAACAATTTTCTTTTAATAATCATTATGAACTTTTGAGCGAAATTTTTGAAATGAACTAATTATTTCTCCAAGATTTTTTTTTATATTGTAGCTTCTTCATCATTGTTACTAATTAATAGAATATATATAAATCCATAAATCATAATCGTTCAATCAGATTAGTTTAAAATAGAAAATCTAACTTAATTCTGATTTGATATTTATTTATTAATTGATATTAAACTCAAAAAAGATATGGGTCGCATATTCCTTCGATTGAGATCAAGCAACATGGACTTATTCCTAGTTTCTGGATGGGTAGCAGAATGATTACTGAGAATTACTGCGTTTCTATATTTCTTCCCCTACCCTGGCGAAAACCCTAGCAATCCAAGTCCAATGATAATGAAGTCCAATTAATTAATTAATGAATTTGGCCAAATTAAAAATTATAAATGTCGTAAATGCTGTTAGAAGAAGTTTAGCACGAATAAAATAATAATTATAATTACTAAGATTATCTGCTTTAATTGGTAAAAACTTACTGAAGAAACAACCATTGATGTAAAAATACGATAAAATATATTTTCATCTGATAAAAAATTAAGATCTGTTGAATTCATTTTAAAAAAAATGGATTCCTGTAGTAAGGGATCAAAAATTATTCTTACGTTTAGGAAATGATAACAAATTTTCAGACATTTAAAATGAATTAACGGTACGAATATAAGTATTTCAGAATTTTGTTTTAAAAATAGAATGAGATTTGATTAAAATAAAAAAATTTATAGGCGTAAATGAAGCCTAACAAAGCATTAAGCGATAGCAGAATTTGTTTTTTCTTGAAATTTTTTAAATCCTCTTTTAAAATATTTTAAAATAATAATAACTGATTGAGTATAACAAAACATTTTTCGATCAATTCATGAAAAACCATTCCGCCATAAAGAATATATGAAAAACGCTTAAACGAAATATTGGCAAGATGAAACAAATAAAGCGAGTGCAAGGAAGCTGAATAATTCTATGAAAAAAAATGAGCATAAATATCACCTTCATTAAACAGAGATAATGATTAGGAGTGGCTTCAAATTGTTTTACAATTAGTTTTTCAACAATTTTTCAAAATTCTCCTAACATGCATTTTCGGAAATTTAAGCACTACTGGTCGAGTGGCATCTTGCTTCGAGTAAGGGCAAGCCATTGTAGATTCGATTGCGATCTCTTGAGAGGAATAACCTGTTATGAAAAATAAAATCTCAGTGGTGCTTACTTCTGCATCTGATTCATCCTAATAGCCAATGAAACCAGACAAATGGTGAACGCTGTTAGAATAGGGCATCGTTATCAGTTATCACCAAAATTAAAACGAGTAAAAATTCATCAATCTGTTCATTTCATAAGCAAAGAAATCTTCATGGAAGTGAATAATAAAACTTCTAAAACTTACCTTTAAACTTCAAAGATCTTAACTAAGTATTCGTAAAACTAGTATAACTTTAAAGAATTTTGCTGAAAGTAATATTTCAATTTAAAAGAAGATATTTTTTCAGCATTCAAGCGTTGCTTTCTACAACGAATTGATTTTCGAAACAATTTTTTGAAAATCCATTGTGATCATTAATATTAATAATAATATTAATAAATAATCTTATTTTAACGGAAATATTTATTTTTAAATTTTTTCCTATAATTCCCCTTTAATAATATATGAAAATTTTTAAAAATAATAAGCGATTCTAAATCAGTATTTCAAAAATTTCATTGCAGTATAAAAAATTCTTATGAATTCTTATCAAATCCACGATTTTTCGTTTTCATGCTCTTTTTTTTGCTAAAGAATGAAAAGCAAAAACTGTAGGAAAGGCATTCAATATGCGACTGGAAAAGAGAGATTATAATTGTGAAACGTTGATTTCCTCGACACCTCGGAAATAAGCAAATTCTTAATTATTAATGTATGATTATTGAAGGCATTTTTTATATCATTTGCCCTTCAGAAAATAAAAAAAATAATTTCGTCACGCAAATTAATGAAAATAATTAGTTAACAAGAAGATAATTTACGAAATTACATGTTGAAAAACACTAAAAGAAAATTGAAATCTTTTTTTGAAACTTTTTTTCCAAGATTTTTATCAATAAAATTATAATTACTATATAATATAATGTTTGCCACACGAAATGTTTGATATTAATCAGTGCCATTTAAAAAAAAAATTCGTACACTTAAATTTTCAAATTTACTTACTCCATTAAATTGGATCGAAGTTGAATGGTATATTTATAATTCGTAACTGAAGGGAAAGGTTCAACTCATCCTCCCATTCCTTGACGAAAGTAAATTTATTGAAGTCCGAGTTATTTTGGCGATCCCCATTCGTACTTCTGTCTCAACCAACTCTCTGAGCGGCTAACAAATCCAACGGACGAGAACTGGCGAATGTTGTTGGTGATATAATAAAATTAAAACTGCAACAAAATTTCTAATTACGCAAAAAAAATTGCTTTAAAAAATGCTAATTAAAATGATTTCTTTTACTTGATTATTTACGATTCTATGACTTTTTTTCTACAACTTTTATCGGAAAAAATTTCCATAATTGAAATTTTTTGCATAAAAACAAAAAATTGCATAAATTAAAATAAAAATTCTTTGCTTACAAGAAACAATAAATGGAAAAAAAATTCATCAATAAATTTGGCAAAATCTGGAATTGGAAAAAATGAAATCGTCGTTTAAAAGAACTCGTGTCCTACTAAAAAATTAAGCTGACGTTTCTGATTCATTTCCTCGATTGTTAGTACCGAAAGAAATTTTATTAATATTATTAATATTCATTTGGCAATGGATGCGATAAACGAACACTACTCTTTTTCAATGACAGATTTTCTTCATACTCGTAATTCGAGTCGCTTATGCTTGAAAAGATCTGAACAATAACCACCCTGCTATTCACCTTCCATGTTCATTTGTTTTGCCATTATCAGTTTTGATTTCCATAAATTTCTCAACTTTTATTCTTCTCAATATTTTCTTCATTGGTACCACTTCCAATAATTTAAATTTCAAACAATGCAAATGTAAATTTATTTAAATTCGCATTTCAATTTGTTGTTAGTGGATTTACCTCTCAATATTTCAATTAAGCGAAATATAAGTATTAAACGACACTTAAAATAAGATTGTAGGATCTCTGCATTTTCCTTCCTTCCTGTTATATTTCCATTCTTCCCCTTTTTCATTTCTATGAAATAACTAATTCCCTTTGTCACTCTGTTCACTTTTTTTTTTAATGATTCAATAATATAGAATCAAATTGACCAAAAATTTAATTAAATAATAAAAAATATCACACATAATCTTCTAAATTAATAGCAAGACTTTTAAATGAATCCACCATTTCGCTTGTTCGCAGCGATTAAGCCATTTCGATTCCAGTTTTGCAATTCTGATTGGCGAATCGCACAATAAAACAAAACAACCTTGTATATTCTACTCGAATAAAATTATCTGCATTTGAATACTGGCTAACTTTCTTTAAACATTTCAATCAGAAGAAATATGAGCAATTAAATAAGACATGATAACAACTGGAACGAAATTACTCAGAACTGTTTAAAGAAAATGAAAAATTTGTTTATTCCAAAAATTTGACTACCTTAACATAACAAAAAGCAATAACAAATTTAATAAAACAATTAAATGAAATGAGTAATAAGTCTTCTTACCAAAAAATAATACTGTCGGTCCTCATTTCTTCAATCTATGGTAAACCTGATAAGCGATTTCTAAGTTATAAAATTTTCTAATAGTTAAAACAACTATTAGAACAACTGTGCCCTCTTGTTGCAGAAAAAAATTTCCTTTACTCCCTATTTCAGAAAATTCCAAATGATAAATTTGTTCGAAATGTTCCTCGCCAATTCATGCATTACAACATAGTTTATACATACTATAAACGATGAAATACAAGCACATCGGAACAAAGCACAAAACATGTTTAAATATAAATCAAAAAAGTAAATAATTTTGCATTTATCCCTTGATCTATCTATTCTCTGGTGCCAAAAAAAATTAACTGGAAAAATATCAACACACGCGCATTTTAACAAATAGTTCAACATTTAAAACAGCCATAATAATAAAGCCTTTAATAAGATATATATTTAACTACCAATAATTAGACCTATACCAAACTTTCCTTGAGCTTTTGTATGATTAATAAGACCGGAAAGAGCAAGCGTAAAAGGCAAATTCCGTGATAGCCTTTTTTCCAACACACCACCAACATTCCAATTCGTATCAATCGATGCCCGCATCGTAATGCCTTCTTCGGGTATTTCAGCCTGAAATTTGAATCTTGAGAATGTTTGCCTAATGGAAAAATCCAAGGTAATATAGTTCTCATATAATACACAAAAATCACTTGATATGCAAATGTTGCAACTGCTTCTTGAGCACGGAAGTTACTTTCAAACTCAACACCAAACGCAAGATTCTCAACTTGTTTGTGATAGTAACACAAGTGCAAACCACCATTACCGATAACGGCTGATGCTGTATATTTATCTGTAGTATATCTGAAAAATAAAAATGAACCTTCAACAATTTAAAAAAAGACCAATAAATCGATAACTTAAACCAACTAACAAAAACAAAAAAGCAATTAAAGCACCTGCCACCATAACTGAGAATTGTCGCTTGTCCACCTGGAACCTGCTTCCCATACTGATATACAAGTTCAGCGCCAAGATCTAGACGAGGGGTCATACGCCGTAAATAATGACCAACTGCTATACCACTCTCATTAAGTATATCAATATTAGCACAAGTTAAGCCTAGAGTGGACAATCGTCCACGATATTCGAAAGTCCCTTGCGTTGCATTGAGGGAACCACCTGAATTGTTTTCTTTATTTTGCGATTTATAACAAATAGTAATAAAAGTTGATTATAAATAAAATTACCATGCATTTGACTCTGCAATTTCATCCTCCATTTTTCACCAAATTGATGGATGAACGTAGCCGAAGTATTGCCATCTAGATCAGTATCTCCCAAAAGAACAGGAAAAACTTCGCCTGTTGCCGTTTGCTTCGCACCTACATATGTTGCACCTATGCGATAGGAAGATATTGGTGAGGATATATTGATAGTATGAGAAACCTAAATATAAATATAAAAATGCAAAAATCTGAAAAAACTATTCAACAAAGAAGCCAGAAAAAAGGAAGAAATAATCTGGCGAATAGAAACGAACCCCGAATATTCTGAATTAATGAATTTTTTTCCAGGTTTTAAAAAAATATAAAGAACCGAAAAATGCGACGAGAGAGGTTTCTGAAGCATAGCTTTGGCACCTTCGAAAAATGCTGGAAAAACATCTCGACATTTTCGATGCAGTTCATCAAAAGATCCTGGATTGGTGCTTGTAGTTGCTGCTGGTATTATATTAGGCACTATTGGTGAATTCTTTATGGACAAATCCTCTGCTGACATTTTCTTGTTATTTTCTTGAAACCATTAAAAACCAATACAAAACAAGAGCAAAAACGGACTGTTGTAGGCTAAATGACAATACAATATTAAATTTTTGTAAATTTGAGTTATGAAAAATTTATCGAAAATCGTTCATAACAATAAAGTACAAAGAACTACAAATTTAAAAAAAAACAATGATTTAAATAAAGAATTCTGAATTACTCTAAATAATTAGTTTTGCTAATAAATTCTTTTGCTTCAAATTTCCTTTCTTTTCCCCTAATTAGAATTTTAATCATAATAAAAAATTTATTAATCAAAACGGTCAATTAATGACATTCAAAAGTAAATTATTAATTATTACGCTTTAAAAAAAACTGGAAAAAATTGAAATAAACCTTCAAGAATTTTTAAAAAAGTCAAAGTAAGACTGAAATTTAGCGAATAATAATTTTAAAAAAGTATCAAAATCCAGAGAAAAAATCTTTAAAAATTTGCAAGAAGGTATCAAAAAAAATTAACTAACCGTTTTTAAATTTAATCCGATTGAATTTTAGAAAATTGAATCGATATAACTTTATAAAGAAACTTAATAAGAATTTCAAATGAACAGATGCTGGAAACTACTGAAAATGATATTTAAAATTAATTAATAATTTAATAATTAAATAATTTAACTAAATTAATATTAAAAATAATTAGTAATAATTAATTTAAAGTTAATTTAAAATTATGAGTAAAAATAAAATAAGTTAAGAAAAAAACTGATTGAAAAACTGATTGAAAATTCAAAGAAAAATTAATTTCAATAAAAAATTATAAATTACTATATAAAATTGCAAATTATTTACAAATGATTATATTTATAATACAACAAATGGATCACATTTTTAAAAACAATTTTCACGCGAAATAATTAAAAATATGGATTCGGTTAACTGAAAAAGGGAATAAAGAGAAATCATTAAAATACCACCAATATTAAATATTATTATGAGGGTAGAACGCTCGGTGGAATGGCTTGCTCACCATCGAAAAGCCGATGCGTGGGTTCTACTCGCGACTAAGAGCCCTGTGATGCTGGCGATCCACTTCTAAGCCACTGGAAGCTGTCCGCTCCAGTAGGACAAGCGAAACCACGGAGACACTGCCCTCTTGCCACAAACCATTTTGTGTAAATTGCCAAATTTATCACAGCTTTACTTACAAAAGATCGAATTTCTTATGGAGTGAAACGATCGCATAAGTGTCACCAGAGTTATGACTAAATCACCTAAATAAGATAATAATTTATCGACAAACATTAACCCCTCGTAAACTGAAGCTTTCGCCCCAAAACGAAATATGCACTTCACTTTTGGTCTAATTCGATCTTATTTGGCTTATCTAAAAGTCAGCTCTGCGAACCGAAAGCTCAGCACGTACATTTCTGTGTGTGTCACCTCTATGGAATCCTTTGAGAGTTTGGCGAGATTTCCTGTTTTCTGTGGGGTTTTAGTGAGAATTATTCCTGTTTCCGCTTCTCCGATTCCTGAATAATGGCGAAGAAATTGCAAATAAAATATTTTGTTTTGCAATAACCGACTATATTGTAAAGGAGAATTATTATTAATGCAAAAGAAAAAAATCCCAATTTGTCACGTTAAATTTTCGCTGGTAACTTCGAACAATTGTAGGAATATTCTCGAAAAGTTTTCTGAGAAGTTTTTCCCTATAATTGGAGTGAATACATTGCAACATTGGCAATATTTTTAAAGATTATCTTCTTTTGCCTATGTTTTACTTGGAAAATGGTTTTCAGTAAAAATAAAGTTTGCATAATAGGCTAAAAAGATAATAAGTAGTGAATAGCATAGTAATAACATACTTAAATAGTTTTGTTAGGTACCATTCTTATATCCAAATTTAGCAAGCAAGCATGTACCATGTACCATGTACCATATTTATATGCCTGTTCACCATTCAGCTCTCCTTGTTTGACTGGTCTCGTTTACTGTTCAGTAAGGAAATGGTTAACGTTTATCATTTCAGGTTAAGTTAGCTGCCGCTGTAAATGCAGTGGCTCAGAAATATGAAAATTTGAAAATTTTTATCAGAGAAACAGTGGAGATAGAAGTGGGTAAATGGCTCATTCCTCGAATTTTTGATAATGAGAGATTTATTCCTAGTGTATATTTCAACACATTTCTGAGCCATTCGTTTGTCCTGTCACCTCTTCAGAAGCGGAGAAGGCGCAGGATTTTACTTCTAATGGCGAGATATCGCTAAGGACCTGGTAGCAATCCTTTACGCTCATAACCGAAACAACATTTCACTTGGCTTGGCCATTCAACTCCACTGTCATCAGTGGACTGAATAATGATTTGTTTGTTATATTGAAACAACAATTTTACTGATGGAAATTTTCAATTTCAAAAAGATACGTTACAGATGAAACGTAACGTAAAGCTACAAAGCAAATTGCAGATTGCATTGCTAATTTTCAGAGATTGAATTCTCTTATAATTTATGACCATACATATTTTGTAAAACTTGAATTCAGTGGGAAAAAGAATTAGGTTCAAATATGCGGAACATTGTAATATTGCATTATAAAAAGAGGAAAGTTTTTATAGCATAAAAAAATTTCAATATGTAAAAAATTTCCTATTTCAATAGGAAAAAATGTAAATAAAGTAAATAAAATAAAAAAGATTTTAAGACTTATAACAAATATTTTATCTTTCCCGAAACATTTTAAATTTAGATGAAAAAATGGAAAGAATCTGCCGTCACGGTAGTAATGTGATTTATGGTACTGTCATCCTTTTGCCTCGGAGAATTTTTTTTTCAAAAGCGTTAATCAACCATTTCGGGTTAATCAATTAAACTTGCTCCGCTACGCGCCTAATAGATTTTGCCAGGGAGTCACCTGGCGATAGAAGTACAGATGGGTCATAGTCATGGGTCCTTAAAATCGACTGTACGAAATGAAAGCACTGGTTGCTGATCTTTTGGAATTTATGGATTTCAAGCAGGTCAAGAAGCGAAAAAAATCTATTAATTTATTTTTATTCAGCATGACTATGAAGATTTTTTAAATTTTTTTCTTATTACCATATACAATTAACTTTCATCAAATTACCAAGACGTTGTATTCCTTTAAAGATTGAATTTTTTTCTTCTAAAAATAATTTAACTAATGCTCCGAACATTCGAACATTATTCGAAAAAAATAATTATTTTTGTTAATTTCAGTGTAAAATAATGGCTGTTAATTTATCTAACAAAAAATTTATCAGTTACAGACAGATGAAAATTTGGTCATAACTGAATCACTTCAAAAATAACTAAGCAAATGAATTTGCAGTTTCTTGAAATTTCTAATTTAGGCAAATGCAAATCTTTAGCATCAAATGACTGGGAACCAGCGAACTAGCAAGTGTAATTCGACCCTAAAGTGGCTCTTTTAGAATTTCACGGCTAATAATCAATGAAACCCCGAATGAAAAATAATAAAAAAATTTATTTATTTAACAGAATTTTTTCTTCTATGATTTAAGCCTTATTAAACCTTCCATCAAAAAATGAAGGTTAGATCAACTGCGATAAGCCATTGCCAACTTTTTCATCGCACTAACTACCACTGAAACGATTTTAACGATTTCCTGCAGTGATGAAAGCTAACTTCTTTCATTTAAATTTAATGTGTCTTAATTTTACAATCAAAATTTTTGAAAATAATTCTATGGAAATAATTTCAAGTTAATTATTTCTTAGCAAATTAATAAAATTTGTATTTTATTGAAAAGAATTTCTTGACTAAAAACAAAAATTTTTTTTTGAAATGAATGAATTTTTTTTTTTCAAAGACATGCAATTATTTATCGTTATTTTACTGTATTTATTGAAACTCTGTAAAATAACTGCAATCTGCTTATAAATATTATTTTAAATTATAAGATAAGTAAATTTATATATATAAGTATATATATATTATATATATAAGTTTATATATATAAGTATAATTATAAGATAAGTGTTAAATTATAAGATAAGTATAGCATAGTATATAAGATAATATAGGTATATGGCTGCGTTTCATTTCCATAATTGCTTATTATTAAGGATAATTGAACGAGAATTCAATTTGCAAAATTTTAAAAAATTCCTTTTAACTATTAAATAAAATAATGAAATAAATTAATAAAATAAATTAAATAAGTCAAAATTAGCGAACTTTTCAGAAGAAAAATTTAAAAGGATAAAATATTTTAAGGCAAAGTTTTAAAACGTGTTTTCAAACGCATTTTTTTGAAGTTCCAATCGTTTTATATCATTTACAGATAACATTCATTCATCTGCACATTAATCATTCATTAAAAAATGAGCGTACAAAGCAAAATTATTTGAAAATGTCGAAAAAAGACTTTATTAGCGTTTACAAGAGATACAGATTGTTCATTACGAGAATCGGCAATTCTGTTATCAGTTGTCGAGAAGTTTCTCTTTCCTCAATAATTTAAGATCTTTGAAATTTGAGAAATAAGATTTCTCATTTATGATATTCATTCGACTGCGAATTGAATTCACAAATTTTTTTAACGAACTTTTATCGCAAGGATTGCTAAAATACTGCCAGCCATATATGGATAACTAGATAATTTTCAAAAAATTTTCGGTAATACTTCATTAATTAATTGTAAAGCCTTAATTTCCAAACACTATCGCCTTCTTTCTAAATTTTGAATCAAATATTAGAAAGTCAATTTTTGCCAATTCAGACAGTTTGAGCATATCTCGAGACTTTTTTTATATTTTTTATTACTCAGTGGGTTGTGGGTTGTTTTCGAAATTTACTTCGGTAATGTTTTTAATTTTATTTTCCAACGTATTTGCCAACTGCAGGTTCTTGATAAAGACATAAAACGTCGAAACGTTGAGCACTGATTACACCAAGAGATCAAGATATGTATTTTTCGTTGTACCTTTATCATAAAAATATTCATTTTAAATCCAAATACTAGCATTTTTTCCTGAGATAACTCAGCATTTCACATTAAGTTGTACCCACTGAATTATCGAACCGGACAAATTGCGCCACTTAGCGACAGAGATCAACTAGGATATTGAATGGCAAACTTGCTTCTAGTAAAAACCTGGAACGGTGCTCTGAAATATGACCAAACAAATCACTGAGCCCAATATTTTTTCTTCTAACTATTCTTACTATTACTGGTTACTATTACTGTTCTTATTATTACTGGTTACTGGCTTCATCAGCTAAAAGAGTAAGACGCTTTCAAGCCACTCGATCCGTACCTAACTGTAATTAAAGCCGTTCTTTTTTTCCTCCTAATCTAAATCTTGACTGGCCCTTATCGCTTTTGACGCTATTGATTCAAGGCATAGCAAAGAGCGAAATATGTGTCAATTCCAATTTGACAAAGAATATAGCCTAATCAGCATAGGCGATTCCAAAGCAGATGGTTTGAATGATGAGCAATCGTGTGAATTTTATTCTTATCAAATGTGCCTCAGACAGTAGTAAATAGTTTTTTAACATCTTCCACTCTCACTGGCATGTTTTATAGTTATATCAAAGGATGATGAGCACTATAGCCAGATAGACTTGAACTTTCGTTTTGATGTTAATGATTCCATAGAGGTTTCGCAATGCATTTGTCGCAAAAAACCGAAAGAATTTATTATAAAAAAAAACTCTTCTTGAACAAAGGGCTCTTCACAGTAATGAGCCTTCTTCTTCTAACAGCTCACACCATTACTGGTGTTAGGCTGGGTCCAATGGTTACAAGGCAAGACGTTTCCAAGCGGCGCGGTCTGATGCCATCTTCGATAGTAATAGAAGCCATTCCTTTTTCCATCGTCTAAGTCCATATATTGCTGGTCCACCTACGTTCAAAATCTTTTATGACCGTCTCAGTTCAGATCTTGATTAGCCCAACTCGATGTTTAGCAAGTAAATATGCTCAACTCCTGTGGTGGATGAAGGAGAATGTAACCAGCGAAGGCGATGCTCTGTGATAACATTATTAATGCAAGCGGTATTTGAACGAAGATGGATGCGATCATGTGAGATTTTATCCACTCAGCGAACCCGTAAAATGTGCCTTAGACATGAGTGATTAAAGGCACATATATTCTTAATATCCTTCACTCTCATTGGCCAAACCTCACAGCCATATAGCAAAATTGAACAAATCGCGGCTACATAGATGCGGACTTTCGTTTTTATGGTTATTCAATGATGGTTTCGTCAATCGGAAGAATGCAATCCTCGCTGCCGTAATCTGGATTGTAACATCGGCCTTTTGCCTTGCCATTCGATATTAGAGTGGATCCAAAGTATTAAAAATCAGGCACTTCCTCAACTAGCAATGAATTTATAAAAAGGGGTATTTTATCAGCTTTTTGCACATAAGACGATTGAAAAGGCTCATTTCATTTACATTGATCCTGAGTGCGATTCTCGCTGCAGTTGTTGAGCACGTTATTATTTGTATTTCATTATAACTGTCAACAAAAATGACACATCATTAGCGTATTCAAGATCTGTGATATTATTCTCTGGACTGATTTGGACACCTCTTGAGTGCCCTTGTTATTTCAAAAGATTCTGTCAGTTCCTTATAAATACATACCTGCGCTCTTAAAATGCTTTTATGAGTCGAATAATTTTCTCTGGAACACCACCGTCACATTCCATCACCTTCCAAAGAGCCGTTCCGTCAAAGGCAGCCGCAACGTCGATGAAACACGTGAGTTGCAAAATATTTGAAGCGATGTTTCAACGCACTTCTTAACGTGAATATCTGGTCAGCGCCCTGGTCTGAAACCAGCTTGATTAGGGCGCATCTTGTCCAATATTTCCATAAATCTACTGAATGAAAGTGAAGCAAAAATCTTCGCTGAGACGTCTAATAGGCTGATTTCTCGATAATTGTCGCAATACGACCTGTCACATTTCTTGAGAATTGGGAGGAGAATTGCTTTGCTCCAATCATCTGGTAATATTTCTTTTTTCCATACTAGAGAGTTTGTTAAAAGTGCGTTATGAAGGATGGACAATATTTGAAAAATTCAATCATCTTCTCCCAGAGTTTTATTGGCCTTAAGCTAATGGATAACGGCGATTATTTCTTCATTTGTTGGCTACTCGCATTTGCAAAAATATGGTTCGACAAAAGTATCAGCTATATGTGGGGCAGCAAATGGCACATCATGATTAAGTTTGGCCTTAAAGAATTCCTTCCATTTTATAAGGCTACCCTTTATATGCTTAACAACCACGCCATAGCTGTCTCTTATTGACTGACCATTTCCCGAGTTATAGTTGCTTTATGAAGGCAGAATAGTTTCCTATTCCTATTATTAACTAATCGAGTTGCCTTCTCCATTTTCAAGGACATGTCGCTCAATAGTGATTTCTATCCCGCCATACTGCTGTCGTTACAAATCATCTGGTATTCAGGATCTTTTGACATTCATGCTTTGGCAGCTTTTTTAGACAGTTGGATAGTTGATACTCATTCAGCGCACTTCCTACTAATATGCCCTAGCATGAAAGTGGCTTATTCTTGGAATTTTCCTTTAGTTGGGACCAGTATTCATTTACCGTTCTAGCAAAATCATTGATATTCATACCATTTTCCTGGACAAATTTTAAATAATTTCGACTTGGCTCATAAGCTTATTTTGTTCTCAAGCTATAGGATCACTTTATTAATCCCATATAAATTTTATCCCATATTTTTAAATTGCTTGGATTATAAGGCGGGAGGGGGTGGGCAGTAGTAATTAGCATTTGAAAGGCAAAGGTTATATGTCCGCTCCTGATAGGAGTGAATCTGGCAATCCTGGTTATATTGATGATTCATCTATAGCTCTACGTTGCTCTTTGGCAAAAATTTTTAACCGTGCGTAAAACATGGCTAACCTAACCGGAAATGATGGACACTAACCTAATTACTTATTTCCAAGATTTTTAGAATTAGGACTTCTATATTTTTGTTAATTTCTACTATATAATGAAAATGAGGAATATCATCAAAAATTTGTCAAATATTTTATTAATGATATAGGGAAGTTAAGTATTGCAGAAATATCAAACTGGAAAAGACAAAGGTCAAAAACCGTTCCGGAAATACGCCAGGATACGCCAGGTTTTACATAAATGAAACCTTTTTTTCAGATGCGTTTATTCCTTTGGGCTTTGAATATTACAGCACTCTTGTATCGATTAATAAGTGGCCAAAAAGTGAGGCAGAATGGTAATATGGGCCGCTTTGAAATTTGTGATGAAACAATGACGAATAATTCGTATGCTTTGGATCAATAAAGGAAACTGATAAAGTTTTAATATCAAAATTGTTAAATTAATAGAAACCAATATTGTTAATTGATAATCGAGGCATCACCATAATTAGGTACTATCTTAATAGAACACAGCATGATCCTGGGGAAAATTCGATGGTGGCAATGTCCACAGTCTGGAAGCATTACCGGTTCCTCTATGATCCATATGTTACTGTAAAGAAAAACTGTGAAACTTTAACAAGTTCTGAAGCTAAAAGTAATATTTATTTTTTTTGCCACAATTTCTTATGATGTTTTTTTTTTGATATTTTAGAAAAATATATTGTTATGGCGAATTATTGAAAGCAGTCAATATTCATAAATTATTTCCGGATTCGAAGACCTTTGTTGATATGCCAATGACGAAAGATCCACGTAAGGACTTTTTGACGAAATTTTTTTTCTGAGATTGTTGCTTGTTGAAAAAAGTATCGAATACGTCTCATTATCATATGCTTGAACCCAATTTAGACAACTAAATTTTATTCCAATATTTATCTCAAATAAACCTTACGTCGGTCGTACGCGATAAAAATTACGATAAATTGCAATAAATTGCAGAAATTGCAAACAGTGAAAATTGGATGAAACGAATGAAAAAGAATGCTAAAATAAACTGTGACAAGGCCCATTTATGCCCGTTTACCCATTACCATTTACCTATTTTATCCATTTTCTGTTGATGAACTTTGTCGATTTTTTCGCTAGACTAAATATTATCAAAATCAATCCATCTGAGATCAGCTGAACCTAAACTGTAACCTTTGTCTTTTCCTTATCTTTCTGACTGGTCTTCCTTACCTTACTGATAAATATTTTGCTCACATTTGAGTAAGAATTTTTCATTTTCCTTCGAAAAAATTAAGCCTTTCAGTTCGATTCCCCGCAGGAGTAAACCTGTCCAAAAATCCGGGTGATGCTGGCGACTCTCCTGTATTTCTATCGCCAAGGGACTCCCTGGCATTGCCCAATGCGACAAGCCAGAAAAAATATATTCGTCGTGTACATTATGATAAAAAATTAGTAATGACATCAATATATGCATAAATTGTTTATTATATATAATTTTATATATAAAGATTGGTGCTTTTGCTAATAGTATGCATTGAGAATCTCGTTAACGTATGAAACGATTCGATTGTTCTTGTCACAATAACCAACTTTTAAAATACTGAAAAAGCGACAATTTTTTGCCATCTATGCCAAACTGTTAAAATTCATGGTTTGTACCAAAATTAGTACTAGATTTTGTCTTCAATGGTAAATTTTTTTACAGATGAAGTGTGGAGTGAGTTCGAAAAAATATATGATTTTAAAAGAGAACATGTCGAAAAATCCGATTTGGAAAATTTCATTAAAAAATATTTCACTGAAGCAGGAACAGAATTAACTGATTGTGATTTGGACGACTGGAAAGAAATGCCAAAGAAACTTATGCGAATTCAAGATAATCACCTAAGAAAATGGGCTTTAGAATTGAACCGAATGTGGCTCCGTTTATGCCGAAAAGTTGACACTATATTTGTGTTATTTAAATTAGTTAAAGCGTAGCAAATTTTTTCATAAGCCCATTCATAAAGCTAACTTCATCATAATCAATTTTCAAAATTTTCGACCATCATTTAGGTCAAACCTGGTGTGAACTCTAATCGAAATTCACTAATAGATGTTCCATATCATTTCATTGTTCCTGGAGGGCGATTTCGAGAATATTATTATTGGGACGCTTATTGGATTATCAAAGGTCTGATTGCGTGTGAAATGTACAATACAACGAAAGCGATGTTAATGAATTTTGAGAACCTTGTTGATCGGTTGTTAATTATATGATTCCTAGAATTTAACTGTTGAAAACTTTACACTTTTTTAAAAGTTTCATCAGAGTGTTGTGCATGATTCTTATGGAATCAAACAATAGACCAAATACAACTGTGAAATCATCCAGTTCCATTGGCAATTTCTTTTTTGCATTCTAAATCAAATCAAATACAATTATAATAAGTAATTAAATATATTGCACTTAGATACGGTTTTATACCAAATGGTGGGCGAATTTACTACTTACGAAGATCACAGCCTCCATTTTTCGCTGGTATGGTTTATGAATACATCGAAGCAACAAAAGATTACGATTTTCTGAAATCAATTCTGCCAGCAGTGATCAAAGAACTAGGATTTTGGCAGAATTATAGGTATGTAAGTTAGAAAAATATAAATTCGATAAAACACTGGAGATCACGATAGCGATTTAGGACCATCCTAATAAAGAAAGGCAAATTCACCCATCGGTTATTTCAATATAATACGCCAACTAATGTAGAGAGGCCAGAATCGTTTGCAGCGGATCACATGATTGGCAAGCAAGTTCATGCTGCTGATAGACCAAAGTTGTTCCAGGTACACATATCAACATTGTCATTAAAAACTATAAATTCAAAATTGATGATAAAAACATGAAAATTGATGATAAAAACGTGAAAATTGATGATAAAACGTGAAAATTGATGATAAAACGTGAAGTTTTTTCTCTATTTTGTGAGCAGTTTTATCGACCTTAAAATACTTAACATATTAATCCACGAAAATTTTAGAACATTGCATCAGCAGCTGAATCAGGATGGGATTTTAGTAGTCGATGGTTCCAAGACAAAATGTCTATGAGAACAATAGAAACGACAGATATTGTTCCAGTAGATTTAAATGCAATAATGTGCTGGAATATGAAAATTATATCCTACTTATCCTATTTAGCCGGTTCAATTTTCTCATTCTACTTACTTTTTGATGCAGAAAAAAATGAACGATAAACAATAAATTTAAGGAGATCGCGATCGATCAGTATGTTATGAAAAGCAGAGTAATAGTTTTCGACGTTCAATGCGATCAGTTTTCTACGACAAAAAAAAAGGTGTTTGGCTTGATTATAATTTAAGAACTGAGAGGTTAAATTCGGAATTCTATGGATATATTGCTGTTCCACTATTTACTAAATGTTATCAACAGCTAAATCTTCGGAAATCTTTTCAAATTGTCGAATTCATGAATGTAAGCATTTTGCGAAAATCTTATATCGCTTTAAAAAATCGGATTTTGCCACAGTTATCCTCATCATATAGGAAAAAAATGGCTCAGTGAGTTGTGTTCGATTGGAAGTGCCGATGCTGAGATTCGATTTTTCGCAGGAATAAACCTGTTCAAAAATACGGGTGATGTTGGCGACTCACCTGTATTTCAACACAACATGGATTCTCTCTCAGTTCGTAGAATTAAATAAGATTTAGTTCACACATATAAGATTCTGTATGGTTATGTTAAACTAGATTGCTCGAAATATTATAACTTTAGACTAAATTTGAATCCAACAAATGGCTTAAAATTACTAAAACCTATATGCAAAACTAAACTAAGGATTCATGACTTCTTTATTCGTACTATTAACTACTGGAACAAATTACCGAACGATGTAGCTTGTGCGTCATCCTTAGCTGTCTTTAAAAATAGACTAGATAATATCATTTACGATATTATTTTAAAAAAAAAGAGAAGACAGGCAAGAACTGCAGGAAATGAGAAATCTCGATTTTATCTTCATCTTATATATGTTACTTCGAATTGTACTATATTATATTGATCTGTAATTTCCTCTTTAAATTGTTAATTTTTGTCATATTGTTTTATAATTAATTTTGTTTATGTTATTTTTTTTTTGTGTTTTCTTTTTCTGTTATTTTAACTGTTATTATTAATACAGGCACATGGCGTTGTCGCCCTGCTTGGCTGGTTATCAATAAATAAATAAATAAATCGCCAAGCGACTCCCTGGCATATTGCTCAATGTGATAAGCCAGTGAAGAGAGTTTAACCAATAATGGTGAGGACTCTTTAAAAAAAAATCCGCATATATGTTTGAAAGCAATTAAACCGTTTGTGTCTTATTAAGCATGGCTTACAGATCTCTAGAGCATTTGATTTTCCTTATGGTGTGCCGACAAGTTTAGTCAAGAGCAGCAAAGAACAGTGGGATTTTCCTAATGGTTGGAGTCCTATAAATCATATGATAATTGAAGGGCTGAGGAAATCTGACGATCCAATAAGTCAAGAATGGGTAAGATGCAACTTAAAAATAAAAACGAAATTTGTAAAGAAAATTTCGCCTTTTGATACTGAAGTCGATTAATGAAAATGAACTATGAATCAAGTACATGTTTTTTCAAAAGATTAGAGACAACAACGATGGTAAAGAGTTATCTTTTAGGCTTTCAATCTTGCTCATAAATGGATTATGGGCAATTACATGGTTTATCAAAAAACTGGTCATATGTGGGAAAAGGTTGAAATTTGAATTATTTTGAATTACGATCTTGCCATTAGATTTCTTAGTTACATAGGAAATGTCTATTCATTGGGGCACTGTCTATCGATAAAGTCGCGGATCAATGAGACAACGAGGGGGGAAGACCGCTTGGTTGAATAAGACGTTGTTTCGGCTGAGGTTTCGATTTGGATCCGATTCACGTTTGTCGATAGGAGTGAGTCCGTTATACAATGTAAAATCGGGCATAGTGGAGACTGAGTTGTAAGAAACCAACCAAAATGGCAGTGAGTTAATGGTGACTCAAAAGAATGGTGCCGCTGAATAAATGGTGAGTTTAAAGAAAAAGAATAACAACTGAAATCAAGCATCACGACTTTTATGCCATATAATCCGCAAATAAACTATTAATTTTTGCACTTTAAATTTTATGAAAAATATAATTCTTTTTTTGTGAAGCAACAATGAAAATAGGCGCAGATAGCAATAATTCTAAAAATAAAAATATTCTAAAAATATTCCTAATGACTTATTTATTAAACGTGATACAAATATTAATTTTTTAAATTAATTTGGCTTTATTAAAATGGCTTATTGATGGCAGTCTCATTTAGTACGATGTTGTTCGGCCCATTCCGAAGCCAGGTGACGGTGGTGAATATTATGTTCAAGTATGTGCCTTTCTCTCTTAAAATCAGAATTAAACTGCAATTTTTCTATAATCTGAAAGATTGAAAATATTCTGAGAGAAAATAGCGGGGAAATATTTTGTACAATCCAGGTGAAAAATCTTCACTTTTTAATCTCTAATCTAAGAATTTTTTAATTTCCTGCTTAATAGCAGGAAGAATGAAATATTTTCAAAAACAGCCAATTATATCGACATTTCAGGATGGCTTTGGTTGGACAAACGGAGTCGTGCTAGATTTGTTGGTTACCTACCAGAATAGATTAAAATTACCAGAAAGTATGAAAATATGAAATTTATTTTAACCAATATCATTAAAATTTTACTTACTTATTTTTGCATGTTCTGAGATATTGCTGGTTTCATTTAATTTCATATGTCTAATTTTATCATATGTCTAATTTCATTCCAAGTTTCAACCTCGGATTTTGCCTAAAGTTATATTTAATCCAGTGTCGGCAAGGAACACGCTTAAACCTGCACTTAGTCCAAGACCATTCTCAACCTTAATATAGTCCATTTATTTATTATCCACTTTCGCTATGAAGGAAAAAAGCAATAAATTTTAGTTTTTTGACCGGCAAATTAGAAATGTGCATATATTTTTCTGCAAAAATAGTAGAATAAAATTTTTCATACTTCCAGAAAATAATATAACTAATTATTTCCATCATATTTTCATAATCACATTTGATTTCAAGATTATTTTACTTTTCCATCAATTTTATTATGAAATTAAGAGTTCTAAATAAAAAAATATTATTGGCAAAAGTTTTCGATTCTAGTATTTCATTTTCTATGAATTTTAACGTAAAAATGGTAACTGAAGTGAAAAAGTCTTTAATCTGTTTATTTCCACTTCCAAATCTTTGTCATTTATATAACTTTAATTTCAACTTTGATTTAAGCAACAAAAATTTCACTTGAGAAGTAACAATTTGGGCCTAAAAGGCGGAATAACTATGGAAACTGTTTGTCAGTACTTTTTTAATACTATTATTAATACTTTCTTCTGGATCCCTCTGGATTGTTTTCTTTTAGAACAAATTCAAAAATTTTCAAATGAATTGTTAATGAAATTAAGTGGGAGTTTTAATTGAGAGTACAGCAAATTAAAAATGAAATTGCGAAGTGTGATGATTAAACCAGGTTTATCCATAATGTACTTATACTCAGAATTAATAAAAACCTTATATTTATAGAAATATTAAACGTTTGAAGTTGTAAAAAGAATATTAAAAAAGTAGTGCTTGTATTATGTTTTCGATTTAGAAAATATTGAATCAAAATGATTAAAACCACTTTTATACTTTTTCTGTCGTTGACAATTTTGGTTAAATTCAGATAGAGAAAATATTTGAAAGGAGTGACTTACGTACTCGTCGATGGTTTCACGATTTGATTTGATTTAAGAATTTACAACCAGCTGAAATTTTTATTCTCATCCAAATAATAATACGAATAAAACGACCTGCGAAAACAATATATATCAACTTAGTAAGTTAAAATTTGGCGAGAAAAAAGAGAGTTTGCCGTCGCGCTTAAAGCCGATATGGAACAACTACGATTAAATCAACAGATGAAAAAATGACCCTAAAATATGACAAAATGAAGCAAAGTAATGAAAAATTGACCTGAACAAACAATAAACTTAACGAAGCAATGAAAACTGACCCTAGCGAACGATAAAAACTTTATAATTTATAATCTTAAGATACATATGAATTATTGTTTTATTATTTTATTATATGAATTAATTTGAATAATTTTACAATACAATTGTTTCGGAATTTCCGACATCTTCAAATAAATCACACCATTACCGATTAGATTGACCGTATTAATTATAAGGATGATGCGTTTCCAATTTTCTCAGTGTGGAGCCTTATTTGAAAGAAATGATAAAAGCCATATTATCTTCTACGAGCTAAGCTTATATATCGATCAGTAACTTATAAATTCAAAATTTTGGCCGTATCAATCCACTTCTTGAATGTGCCTTCTTATTTTTGCTGCCACCATCGCAAAGCTTGCCATATAGCAGGATATATGTCAAGCTACGATAAAGCTAATGTAACCACTATTCGAGCGATGTTGAATGCGATTATGACTCCATGGGCTATAAGCTCGCTGAATGGTAACTAAGACAAACGGTCAAAAGTAGCGTTTTTAGACATCTTTCACTGTCACGTGAGGAATTGTTTCTAGCTGCAGCTACCTCAGGTGAATTGTATGTTTCATTTGGCCATTTGGTAGGGAAGTGGATCCAAGATATTTGAACTGGCATTCCCATGAATGAATAACCTTTTAAAGGTATCATTCATTATCTGGCATTCAAACCAAAAGCTTTTGCCTTATTTACTTGATAATTATTATAATTATCATTAGCATCTGTTGTACTTCTTCATAGTTCTCCATCACTAGCAGCAAAAAGATATTTCAGCGTATTCAACATCTGAGATACTATGTGTAAAAAAAATAGATTAAATTATTGATCTGAAGCAGTGGGATGATCAATCGCCTGTCACGCTATTAAATAACCTTGATCCCACTTCTTTCTCAGGGCAATAGAATCAAAATTGCATGAATTAATAAAATCTTTATTTCGTTGCCTCAAACTTGGGTAATTAAAACGACTAATATTTAGTGATACGAAAAACAATATTCACACAAGTTAAAAGTCTATCCGGAGACTAAAAGGATAACCATCGCAAAACAAATAAAGAATGATTAAATAATATAAAGCATGTAAAATAACAAAGTAAATTGAATATTGAAATATTGGCACCCTTCCACTCAGGTCCCTTGATGGCACCAAAACAACAGTTTGCTTGAAAAGGTTATCCATTATATACTTATAAATTGACCTCTATCCTTTGTGATGATGTGAAAATAAAGAATTAATGAATAAATGAAAGGTTTCATTTGGTAGGTCGTGGCTACTATTTTGAAATAATAAATTTGAAATGATAGAAACATCGCATTTCGCGACACTATGCTTTAAAATGCTGCTGATTGCCGATAAGTTGTATCGATAATCCAATCTAACGGATAATTCAATAAGATATAATAGAGATAAGAAAAAAGACCAGACAATTTTAATTTCGAAAGGAAATGCTGTATGCCCAAACTTCCATTGACGTATTCAGCCAAAATGTCTTAATCCATCCCATGACATTTTGCCATTGTATGAACTTCCAGAGCGCTGGTCTATCGAACTGAAGGCAGTGGTAAAATCAGTAAATCAAGTGTCCCTTCCTTGAAACTTATTTCCTTTAACAATTCTGTGAATCCTTGACCACTGTTTTATGCACTAAATTTCTATAATTATCTTCTAACGCCATAGAGTTCCACCTAATCTTTTTCTATTCTATTTATATCAGTATTGTTCTACCTTTTGCAAATTTTTAAATTGTGGCAAATGCAAGATTGGAATGGGTAATATTAAAATGTGTTATAAAATAATCCACAAATGGATTACATGAAAAGAGCATAGAAAGTGTTTTGGGGTTCGACGGGGATTGGGAAATTTTCTACAGAATGTGACAACTCAACGGATATTAAGAGATTTTGGTACTATCAGAGATGTATTAATTTTATGGAATTTTGTTAGATCATTGTTTATTGTTGCTTTGTGAATTATTTTATTGGTAAGTGTCTGCTTGTATGAGCGTTTTTTTGTGCATTTCCTCCGGTCCAAGGGCTCATTTAATTTTTCCAAAATGCTGTGGTCCTGAAATTTATTATATATTATACAACACCAGCTTCAGGTAATATTTCTAGTTTTTACAAAGGAGCACGAAAAGGTTAAAGATGGTTGAAAAAATTTTCGGAGCGTAATATATTCTACGGACCGGGGATAGAATAGCTCAGTGGGGTTATTGCTCGATTGGGAGCACCGATGCTGAGGTTCGATTTCTCGCAGAAGTAAACCTGAACAAAAATCCGGGTGATGCTGGTGAGCTGGCGACTCATCTGTATTTCTGATTTGTGAATAAATATAAATAAGAATTTCGATGGCGAAATTAGCACAGTATATTATATTTTATAAAGAAATTTAAGAATGTTCTATAATTGATTTTAATAAAAAGAACTGCGCGCTTTGATAAGCTGTTGAATATGATGGTTGTAAAATTTTCTAAAGAATTTACCAGTAAAAAGAACATAATGTCTAGCAAAATAAGATCCAATAAAGGAGTTTATGGTAGAGTTATAACTAGTGGGCTATAGCAAAAGAATACAGGATTTATACGAGGTTTTTACGAGTGGCAAAAAAGTAAAGTCGAAATGTTATGGAATAAGACGAAGAATCTAAAAGATATTACTTTTTCTTCCAAAACTTTCACCATTACTGGTTAAGCGAACTTCGTTGGCTAAACGGTAGGATGTCTTCAAGCTGCAAAATCTGCGCCATCTTTGATAGTAATAGAAGCCATTCCTTTTTCCAACGCTTAAGTCCATATATCGCTGGTCCCCCTATGACTATATTAGTCCAGATCTTAGCTGCTCTTCCTCGCTTTTGATGCCAACCATCATAGGGTTTAGCAAGTAATGAAATATGCGTTTATTCCTGTGGTGGACAACGAAGAACGTGCTCTAACCAATGAAGGCGACCCTCCATTATTAACATTATTAGTACAGTTGGTAGTTGAGCGAAGATGGATAGAATAATGTACGATTTTATCGGCTCGATGGAAAATATATCTTGGATATGAGTGGTCAAAGGTTGATAGCTTCTTAATATCTTCCACTCTCATTGGCCATGTTTTCCAGCCATATAACGACATCGAACGAATTGCAGCTATATATTTATGGTGATTTGGTGATATGGTGATTTATGCGCGCATATTTATGGTGATTTTGCGAAATTATATCATGTTAGAATATAATATTACAGATCTTGAATACTGATGACTAATCCTTTTGCTAACCGAAGGAATACAAGGAATACAATGTATGGACGACAATTGTTGGAAAAATCGGATTCAGACCACTAAAAATATGATGAAAGTCTTTTCTATACCATATACTAATACTTCTTTTTATTATCAAAAGCCTTCACATCAAGAGTTGATGAATTGGCCGGCCTTAATATCTTGAGTCTATCATATTTTGAATATAATACCAAATGGCCAAGCGAAAGATGCAATTGTAACCAGGATAACCGCAAATTAAAAATGCACACTTTTATCAGGCGAAACTTTCGAATCGCCACGAAAGCGAAAGTATCTATCTAGCGCACCATCCTGCTATGCTATTACGAAACATGGCCAATGAGAGTGGAAGATATTCA